ATAATCTAGTTACAATAAAATTGTCATTAGATGACATTTTGCTTTGGTAGCTTAAAATATACAGTATTTCGATCTGCCAGTCACCAATTGATACCTACAATGCCAATACAGATTAGATGAGATTGAAGGAATCTTCAAACGTTAAACATTAGGCATGAATTTTCTTTCTTAAAACTATATAAATATTAAAAAAGTGTAATTAATTAATTGCTTGAAGATGCCTGCATAAAGTGAGACTGTTACTTCAATTAAATAATATAAAATTAGGCCATCAAGACAAGTTGTAACAGCAGTTGAAACATGTAGATGTTTCTTTTTACGTATCATTCTGGACAGAAAAAATATATTTTTGGGTGACCAACTTTTTTGAAATATATGCTTACCTGATATTTAAAAAAACTCAATTCATAAAAACTTTACTCGAACTATTCGATAATAAATGCGGTATCGGCTCAGAACGTTTTTGTTGTAAGGCCTCAAACGCAAGTGTTCAAAGTCTCATATACTGTAACCAATGCGATATTCAAGCTGATTGGTTATCAAAAATATGAATTTTTATTTATTTAAAATCACACATTTCAGCATTTTTGAAAAACGAATTTGTACTTCTATTTCTATAAAGAAAGTTTTATTTCTTGTTTAATTTTAGCCTACAAGAAGGAAGGAAATTTGATTTCCAATTATAATTGCCTTCAGTTGCCAGGTTACCGTGTTCCCAAATATTTGCATAATCAATTACGGTCATAAATTTCAATACAGCCAAGGTATCCAAGATCCTCCCTGATCAACGCTGTCCACTCCATCTTCTTGTTCGTTACTGTTTTTGTTATCAGAGGTTTTTGGATCTTGATGGTTTATTAACAAACTTGAAGGATGTTTTGGATTGGACAAGTCAGCTGGTATCTCGTCATACAGAGGATTTAGTGGTATAACAGCCGATTTATCCTAGGTGTGAATAAATAATGTAAGCAAATCTCGTTGTTCACCAAGTGAATGATAAACCTTCAATTTCGGGTGTTTTGTGTTGCTCAGGGTAAGCCTCAATTTTATTTAGACTATTCATGTTTTCCAGGAACTCCGGAGAGGGAGGGTTAAGGGACTTAGCCCCCCTAATAGGTTACTATTATCAATAGACGTCATTTCCGGTAATAATTGAGTTTTGACGGAGAGAGAGAGAGAGGGGGGGGGGGGTTCAATTGAAATGCTCAGATATATTACTTTTAAAACTGTGTTGACAAGTTTTGACTTTAATTTTGCTAGTTGTATACTAATTGCCCCCCATTAATCTCCAACGAATGTCACGTGATTGATTGTAAGTCAATTATTTTGCCGCCACGTTGAATTACTTGTTGACTCTTAATTTATAAATATAATATTAACTTAATATAGATAAAATATTAACTTCACAACAAACTTCAACACTTTAAACCATATACTATTATATATATAAATACCAAGTAATTCTGCTCTTCTCGGCAAATGAATCAGAATAAAATACTGAACAAGCCAGTTATCTCAATTAACTTTCAATTAACGGAGACCAACGGACCAGCAGTCCAAAATTTTCTAAGGAAGAAAACTTTAAAACAATAAATATGTTGTAAATGTCGCTCAAAACACTCGAAAAATGCCCGAGTTAGTAAATCTGTAGTCAAGAAACAATAACAACAGTAATAGTATACGAACTCGAAAATGGTGTATTCAAAGTAATCCGAACATATTCATCTTAATTTTATTATTTTCCTAAAAAATAATGCAAACCAACCTTTTTGTTTTTATTGACTGTAGCATACACGGGTTCCACGTTAGATTTCACTTTTTTCGAACTGTTTGTCTCACCACTTGTTGGTTGTTGTGCTGTGTTAGGAGTGATTGCCGGTTTGTACCCAGTCTCTTCCACGGTGGCATAATCAGTATAGCTTGCAGATATGTTAATTACGCTTCTCACACGTATTGCATCAACTGGGTCTCCATACGGACTCTCCTCCATCGAGTGATTTTGCCTTCTAACAAAGTCGTGTGTTTATATCAGTGAGTCAATGTAAAAGTAATAACCAACATAACTAACTATTCTGGACCTTTCTTAAAAGTAATACAAAAAGAAATCACACTTTTCCTAAATGGAATTTGTGTCATTTCTTTTGTATTTCCATGATGTTATCCTTGCATTCACGATACTTTTAAAAAGGATCCATTTTTAATCAAGTAGTTAATCAGAATTAGTCGCCAACCAGCCAAAACCAATGAAACCTAAGTAATCGATGAATCAAATTTTAAAAAAGCTTTTGAAACTCGAAGAATCCTAGTCAAGTACAATGCACTGCGAGCGCAGAAAACAATGAAATGCTATGCAAAGCGTTTTTTTTTTTCTGCCAGGAAAAATGGTGGTTTGTAGGTGAACGTTGTGTTAACAACTCATGATTCGAGTCACTGTTGTCTTAGTCAGAACATAGTTAATAGAGGGGAATGGTTATGAAACCTATTGTTATATGTCTTTGTTCACTTTTTTCAAGCGTGACCGTGCATAATCCTTTGTTTTACCATTGTCTTACCATTGTTGGCAATGGCTGAGTGAACAGACAAAAACCTTTCTTTTGGCTGCTAGTTCAAGATACTTAAAGATTTATAAGAGATATTTGAATATTCCTTACAACAATCCCAAAGACAAAGTTTATGTTTACTTATTTTGCAAATTTGGACGAGCATAAATCAAACATTGTGCACGGTCAAGACCGGTTCAACATCAAATGCGAACAAAGACAGATAACAATAGGTTTCATAACCATTCCCCTCTATTAACTATGGTCAGAACCACTGATTGTTCTAAAGAACAGTCGGTTCTTTACTATTACATAACGCCATGTACTTATGAGAAGTAGAAATTGTCAGAACTTACGGGTTAGCAGGTATAGACTGTATACCTGGAAGTAAAAGGAAAAATATTACAGTCATGGCATGAAAATAGGTATTTTTCACTTATACATGTGTTACATTCCCATTAGTTAAACCTTATAAACGAGCAGTCGTGTTAAAATGAGCCACAGGATTAAAATGTGCACCTAGATACTGGTAAAAAAAGCGAATTATCTAATAGTGTTGACTGTTGCTGGATCTAATTCAAATATTCCTTAATATAGCAATTATTACAACCATGATCCCGCTTGTTGACCCCTTGAGCATGCGYTTCTAAAAGAAGCATGTATCCAACCCTATTTTAATGCTATTGTTTTGGGACGCTCAATGCAAGCGAATCCGCAAACGAATCCGGGAACTATTATTATTATTTGGCTTCAACTCCTGTCACGTATACTATATTTATTACTCACTTACCCTTATCGACGTCAGGTTTTGACTTTTTCCGTTTTCTTGAAAAGAGAATAAAAGCCAGTATTAACGCAACCGTGACCAGAGAGCAAGCGACCACTATGATTATGAGTAGCCAATCAGGACCAGAATRAAGAATGGATTCGTCTGAAATATCAAAGAAGCACAATCATATGTTATCATGTACTTATAAGTCATGTACTTGATACTAAAAGAATAGAATCAATTTGTAATTAAAGAAAGCCAAGTTAAGCTATTTTGTTCTGCGTTGTAGATAACCCGAGAGGCTAGCACTATCTTGTTTATGATCCCCTCAATATGTGTAGCTAGTCTCTTATATTTGTGTGATCCCCTTCTCACCTTGATACAAGACAATATTGTACAGCTTATAGTTATAGTTATATATTTATATAGCTTCATTTCTCAACATATGAWTTACTTAAATCCTCCGAACCAAAACACGCTTGCCTAACCCTAGCTTCTTGAATATATTGGCTTTCTTCTTGGCCCGATTTGACACAACCGCTTGTTCCTTGGTTTCGATTCTTGGGTAGGGTCACGTGTTGCCCTTGTTGTATTTTAGCTACTCGGTTGCAATAGACCCTTTGCATGTGGCGTCAAAGTGTCTCAATTTGCAGGACAAAACAAAATAACTTCAATCTCTTGGGGATTGGGAACCTGTTGGTTTGTTTGCTGCAAGAGGCCCATTTTATAAGTATCCTTTGTTTTGAAAAATCCTTTCCACTCCACTACATGTAACAAAAGGCAACTACAAAAAATAATACTATAATATGAACTTTCTATATACATATAATAAGAGCTATTAGATTTCATACTGAAATGGTCGACTATGCTGTTGCTTGTGCTAAGATTCTCTTTTGTGATGTGAGCAACATTATACAAGCCATCCATCCTTCTATCCACCAGTTGCTCAATATACATGTAAGCCAGGCTATTACAGACAAAAAAATGATGATTATTTTGATCATATAGTAAACATACCACTATTTTTAGTTCCTATTTTCTTGCAAAATGAAACGGATTTGCGTTGAAAAGCTAAAAAAAAAAATAAATCAATACGACAAAAGAATTACCACAATCAAG